CCCCCAACAAGTAGTTTATAACATAGATTTGGAGTAAAAGAACGTAAAAAAGAAGGGTAAGAACTAAGAACCCATCAACCCTGATGTTGTTTTGTGGGGATTGACTGTCTAGCGTGGAAATGATTAACATGCTAATTATATAAAAACCCGATAATCACTCATCTTTCACAACTCTAATGAAAATTTAATCTCAACAATTACTGTTTGGCTGCCATCATGAAGCTTCCCAACATCATTCATTATCCATCCGTGACTCGACAACATATAAGATGTTTTATTTTATCACGATGATACATGTTTTTTCTTTTTCTCTAGGTTGTTGCTTAATTATTACAGACAATCCATTCATAAAAAAAAAAATTATTACAGACAATCCTTTTCTCACATTAAAATATATGTTCCCCATAGCCATTAAAAGATAAAAAAGCCATTGGAATGAATTTATTGGAGATTCACTATTCAACATGAGCTTCTTGTCAAAGTAAAATTATGCATTTATTTACAAATTTTGGATGTAGATTTTCAATAGTACACAACGATCATCCGTTTTGACATATAGTTTGTGATTAATTTGATTTAATCGATTGAACCTTATTTTGAATTTGGATCGGGCCTAGGCTAAATTTACTCTCTACTTAGGATGGCCATGTTCCAACTAATTTGTGGATTAGACATGAACTTTGAATAATTAGTTGGGATCCTAATTACTCATTACCACATTAGAGACTCTGAGAGATTGGGCCGAACCGATTGCGCGACAGACAAGGTCCAACTGACCTCAAGCATAATGGGCCCAAAAATGTTCATAGATTTGGCCCAAAATAGTATACCCACTGGGCCACTAGACAATTCGCTTTCCAGTAACCCGGCCCGCATCCGAACCAAACCAAGAGAAAAACCCTGGAAAACCCCTGCGAACAAATAATCGGAGGGAAAAAAAAGAGGAGACCGCGCTCGAGCTTTTGCATAACGATGGCGGCTCACAAGGAAGACAGCAAAAAATTGAACAAGAGAAAGCTATCTCCGGCGTCCAAACCCGGCCCGGACGGCTCCTCTACCAAAAAGCCGAAGTTAGGCAGCTCGAAGGTTGACGATTATAAGGGGAAGAAGCCCTTTAAGCCAGTGAAGAAACATGGGAAGTCCAGTCATGGTGAAGATAGTAAACAGACGAAGGAGCCGCTATCCAAGCGAGATCGCCGAATCGAGGCTAAGGTGGTGAACTGTTTTTATTTATCAACTCAAAATCGAAATGTTAATGGAGAGTTTCGGGGAATTGATTTCTGGGTTCGGGGGGTTTATTATTGGGTTTCGCTGCAGGAGTTGGCTGAGGCGAGGAAGATGAAGAGAAAAAGGCACTACAGTTTGGAGCAAGTAAGCTGTTTGTCGTTTCTTTTACTTAGCTCTGCCATTTCGTCCATTTCCTTGGGGTTTAATTTTTATTGGTTTGGGTAAATTTCATTTGGATAGGAGCTTGCCAAGCTATGGGAGAAAATGAGAAAGCGTAACATAGCCAAGGAAGATAGATCCAAGTTAGACGAAGCTTCACTCGTTCATTGATTCTATCTCTTCAGCTTTTGCCAAGTGTTTTATTTTTGGCTTACTGTGAATTATTCCTTAGGTTGATTAGCGAAGCAATACAGAACATGAAAGGGAAGATACCCGAAATTGCTACTTCTCATGTTTCTTCTCGTGTTCTTCAGGTGGTTTTCTTACCATCTACTCTTTTAGTTGCTTGCTGCTGAATCATGTTGTTGTGGTAACAGAATTTGATTGTATGATTTTGTTTGCTTTCCGTCCCAGACTTGCGTAAAGTATTGCTCGCAGACTGAGAGGGATGTTGTGTTCAGTGAGCTGAGGCCGCATTTCCTGAACTTTGCTTGCAACCCGTATGCAGTTCATCTCGTCAAGAAAATGTTGGATAGTGGTATGTTTGAATAAGATTTGCTATAAGCTCGACACTGATTTTCAAAAGTCTTCGTCTTGACGGCTGCTTGCGTGTGGTATATATGCAGCTTCCAAGAAGCAGCTGGGAGATTTCGTCTCCTCCCTCCGCGGGCAAGTTGCTTCTCTTCTTCGCCACATGGTTGGATCAGTTGGTATGTTGCTCAAGAAGCAATTTTCTTCGAGTCCGTCATTTACCTTTTAAGGGTGGTGAATACTTCTCGTCTTAAGAAACATGTTTGAACATGTCCGTCTTCTCTTCAGTTGTTGAGCATGCATACCAAGCTGGTAATGGAACTCAAAGACAGGAGCTTTTGCTGGAGTTGTATTCCACCGAGCTCCAATTGTTCAAGGATCTTTCCTTAATCAAAGAGAGCAGGTAACGCCAACTTAATAGATATTTATTGTATTACCGGTGATAATCGTATGGGCTCTTAACCCAAATCATCTGTCAGGTTGGTGGATGTGATCGCTAAATTGAACCTTCAGAAAAATTCAGTTTTACGACATATGACTTCTGTGATTCAACCAATTCTGGAGAAGGGAATTGTTGACCACTCTATCATACATCGGGTGCTTACGGAGTACTTAAGCATAGCTGATAAGGTGTGTTGAAATGGTACAGTATCGGCGCTCCTTTTAACAGAAACTTTTTTTTCCTCGGCCCTCACGAGTTTGACTGTAGTTTTCTGCAGCCGACGTTCTCGAGCAATTGTCGGGTCCACTTCTTGTTCGAATGATCCATACTAAGGATGGTTCTCGGATTGGCATGCTTTGTGTCAAACATGGGAGTGCAAAGGTTTGTCCTTGCCCTGATCATTAAATTATGTTTAACAAAGTTTAAGCTGCTTGTGCATTTGGTTAGCTATAAAAGGGTTCTACTCTAACACTGTAATTAAAATTTATCATTCCTTATCATGATCAGGAAAGAAAGAAGATTGTCAAAGGAATGAAAAGCCATATATTAAAGATTGCTTATGACCAATATGGAAGTCTGGTACAACAGCTTTATTTAGTCACTCATTCTCTTGTCTACCAACAATTCTTTTGAGGTCGTATTTTCCCCCTCGTAAGAACAAACTCTAATGTGTTGTGATTTCAATCTCAATTTTCAGGTGCTTGCATGCATTTGTTCAACTGTGGATGACACAAAACTCCTGACAAAGGTACATTTGCTGCAATGGCGAGTTGCTGTTCTGTTCATTTTATTCGAATGTTCCTTTTTGTAGAAATTATATCAATGTCTCTTTGTTGCAGATTGTGATTCGTGAGCTTCAAACTAGTTTGAAGGACCTCGTTCTTGATAAGGTCAGTACTTTCTGCAAATGATAAGTCACACTCAGAACATACTTTGTCATTATAACCGAGCAAGTAACAATTGTAATTTGTTTGATGAAGACATAACCTAAGTTGGTTATCATTTCCCCTAATTTGTTTTTCTGTTTGTGCTTTGGGAAGCTGAGGAAAATAGAGAGGATATAATCTTATGTGAGACAATTCTTATCTAGGTGTTGTTGCTCTAGATTTTTCCTGCTGTAAGCTGAGTTTTCAATGAATGGACTTGCTCTCAACCATTTCTTCTCCCTTATGATTTTGGAATGTCAGAATGGAAGGCGTCCAATATTGCAGCTACTTCACCCAAATTGTTCGCGCTATTTCAGTCCTGATGAAATGACTTCTCTGAATTTATCCATCCCCTCTCTCAGTGCAAAGGTGCTGCATAACTCTTTTTATCTTCTCTATTGCTGGTTTCTTCATCTCTAATGCCACTTGCATTGCTTTGTTGCCAGGTTGGAGCTGAATCAGAATCCACAGCAGAAGGAAACCCTGAAACAAATGAAGAATCCGGTGATGAGGAAAATGATGTCAAAGAAGATACAATGGCCGAGGGAGATGAAACTGAAGATCTGGTGGAGGGTGGAAAGAAAGACCCTTTGACAAGACGACAGGAATTATTGGTTGAGAGTGGCCTTGCTGAGGTAAGTTGTTTCACTATGCAAACTTAAATGCACATTGTTGCCTGTTTGAGCTCGTCCTAATCTCAAGGTGAGATTTGATTGTCTAATTTAATGCTGATGCCATTTGCAGAGTATCATCGATGTATGCACAGAGAATGTGGAAGAGTTGCTTAGATCAAATTTCGGCAAGGAAGTCTTGTACGAAGTATGTCAAAATCTCTGCATTGACATTATACATTTATACTAAGGGTGTATTTTATAAAGAAGTTGATCATTAGGGCATTCTTCTAGAATAATCTTGTTACTATTTGTAGGTTGCAACTGGTGGTTCTGAAGGAATTCTTTTCCCTTCACTTGGTGCGAAATTGAACACCTTGCATGAGGCGATAGCATCTGTTGCAGCAGAGTCAAAATCCGAAGAGCCAGGAAAGGAACACGTCTTTGATCATTTTCACTCCAGCAGAACGATCAGAAAGCTGATCTTGGATTCCCCAGGTTTCGCAGCCGTTCTGTGGAAGAGGGCTTTGAATGGGAAGTGTAGCTTGTGGGCTCAAGGTCACAGGTCAGTTAGGATAAAACAATTGCGGCCCACTCTCTCATAATGTATGGTACAGAAATGACAGCTTGATCTTAACCCATTTTCCTTGTCCATTCTGCAGTTCTAAGGTAATACACGCCTTCTTGGACTCTGCTGATGATAAAGTACGTGAACTCGCCAAGAAAGAGCTGCATCCATTAATCAAGGATGGTGTTCTTAAAATTTCGGAACATAAGGAGGTAACTAAAAAGGGTAAATTATCAGCTGAATGAGAGTATGACAGAAGGGTTCGAAGCAAAAACCGATATTTGGCTCGTACTTATGTACCAATTTTGTAACGACAGACTTGTAATTGGCTAATAGCAGACTATGGAAGCTTGTTTTTCTTGTCTTTTTGAGCTGCATATTTCTCTCTTCTTTTGATTCATGCTAGCAACAAGTTTCTTTTTCCTTTTTAAAGTTTAAAGCGTTGTTCTTAGCTTCATGTAAAAGAATTCATCTGTTGTTAGATCATGGTCTCTGGGTTACATGAAAATGTGACAAAATTAATTGTTAAAAGAATGCTGAATTTCTATCATTTATGGAAAAGAATAGTTGAGTTATGAATGAACGCAAGCAGGTTTGCTTTTCATCATCCCTCTATCTAGCCTGTTCTCAAACACAGGAAACTCAACCTTTCTTGACCCCTGCCCATTATTACTAAAAATCTGTCTCCTCTGCATGTTCCAGAAACTCTCAGGCTTCTTACTATAGCTCTTCCTCTCCCTAAAATGAGGATACCCTTCAGATCCATAGTCACATGGATCGAATACTGGCGATTCTCTCCTCGATCTGCATCGGAACAACAACTGGTTCGGCGAAGAAGTTGGCATGAAAACCGGGACTTCGTCCCTTCTTGAAGATGAAGCAGCATTAACCTTTAGACAATTCTCCATCACTCTAGCTTCTTCCTTGAACCTCTCCCTTATGTCTTTCAAAGCCTGCCGAATTCGGTAAGCCCTCGAATGAATCTCGTTGATGGGTACCTTCACCTTTGGTGCTGAATACGGGATTCTGTTGCACACAACGCAGAAGCATTTCCTTCTCTCACCATCAAACTCTCTCCTCTTCACACTGTCTGATAGAACAGAGTACCCCTGCAATCAATGCTACTCACATGAAGCTTGCTGTTTTGCCAAAACTGAGCTACAAGACTAAGCATCAAAGAGGAATTAAACCTGGAGGATGAGTTTGAATGCGATGTCGGCTTTCGGGTGATCATTCTTGTCAGGATGAAGCTGTAAGGCTGCAATTGGAAACCGATAAAAAAAGGTAATAACACTCAACCACACCAAAATTACACGGAAAAAGACTGAAACAGAGAGTATTGGAACCCAGAAACAGAGCATGAACCCACCAAGGCGATGGTACCGCTTTTTAATATCCTCGAAATCTGCATTTTCTTCTACCTACATTGAAGAAACAAGGTGTTAGATGAAAAGGGTTGATGACAGAAGATAGAAAGGTGAGATCTTTTTAGGGATATGGAGAAAGGATTGAGGATCGTACACCGAGAAGGCGATACCAGTCGATGAAATGTGAGTCAGGGGAAGTAGGGGAAGAGAGGCAGGGGAGGTCTTTATGGATGCAGGCAATGGTGAGAGTTGACAGAGAGCAAATCTCAGATACCAATTGGGATTTGGCTTCTGATGATGATGCATATCTCATTCTGTGAGGGAGAGAGAGAGAGATGGAGAAGGTATACGTTTTTCTGGGATTTGAATGAGGCCCTGAGGGGAAGGGAAAGGGTGGAAGAGGAAGAGAAGAAGAGTGGAGCGGTTAAGAAAAAAGAGCAAAGTTTGCGGGAGGAATTTTTGAAAGTGGATCGGTTATTACTTATTAGTAGTTTAACCCGTGAATTTCTAAATAAAAACAAAATGTTTTTTAAGTTTTGACAGAAAAATAGTTGGGTATTGATCATTCTGGCGAATATCAAATCATCGAGAAATACGGTTCAAAGTTTAATAACATGACAATGATACATAATCGTCATAAAAGCATACCAACTTAGCGTTAATTAGGCGAGTTATTCGATACAAATGGTCGCTATAGTCTTATTTCATTAACATGGACAATTAACTCTTGATATATTTAGAGGTTCATTTAGTCGGAATTGGTTGATAATCTAATTACATATGTAACCAAAGCAAACACGACATAAAAATAAATAGGAAGAGGATTAAAATCATATTGAAAATACACTGTGGTTAATTTTCATTTGTTCCGATCGAATCTATATCAATTCAAACTAACTCTATTAATTCAACGCACGTTTTTAGGTATCAATTTAATACAACACCTACGGATTAGGTTCATGTTTAGCCTAATGCCATTGAATAGCAACTAAAGTAGGAGAGGAAACACACACCAAGTATTAAAAAGTCTGGACTTTATATTCTTGGTCGATTATTTCACATTCTTTAGAATGCTTATATTATGGTTTCTCCTCATCTCGGTTTTTATTTTAGAAACAACGTGAACAAACAGTATAATGTATATTAAGAATTAATTGAGATTAAAGTAAATTACAACAACTCACATACCTAATCGAATACCGAAGGTCCAAATCAATCAAGGAGATGATTTATTTACATGATGAAATTGCAGTATATAAAATTGTAAACAATCTGCTACGTGATTTCCTTCACGATGCACATTTTCAATTCGAACTTTAGAGGATAGGCTGAGAGTTGGTTATCAGCTGATCCACGTAGTGGACATGGTGCAATCCCATTTTGGTGTATTGAATCCAATGAGGAATTCCACGTGAAGAATTGAAGGATTTGGAGGTTAAAGGGAGCGGTTTGTTTATGAGAAAGGGAAAAGCCCCATGCTGATCATGACCCTACACATATAAAAATGCCTTGCTTGAATGTGAAGTTATGAGGAGTAGGTGAAAGAGAGGCAAATTACCATCATCATCATCATCTCCTTTCTTTCTTCTTTTTGCTTCTTACTTTCTTTCCCTAATCATGGAAAGACTCCCAACCCTAATGGGGTCATTATTTCATCATGCTAATCTTGCAATATGGTTGCCAATAGGGTGGAAAACGGTGTGGTCCGTACTAGACCAGATCATAGGTCTGTGATTTAGATCGAGAGGTCGGAACATAAACTATGGATCAGACCATTGACTATACGATCCAAACCAGCCTATACTTGTGTGGTGCGGTCCGGTACGGTCTAAACCAAGCATACTATGTTAAAAAAATTCACTCTTATTGCTCCTCCAACCCTTTGTCGATATCTGATAAACAAAAATTCAAGTGCCCAATATGCTAGTGGAACAAAAATTTAGTGATCGTAATTAAATTGAGAAGAAATATACGAGGAAAGAAGTGGGCTTTTTCAATTTTCAAACTCTCTTTAGTCTCCACGGCTCTATCTCATATCCATTTAAAACACACACATCAAATAGCCTTGTTTCCTTCTTCCTCTTTGTGCGACTGCTTCTCTCCCTCTCTCGAGTGATCCGAAGGTTCTCGCGGTCGATCACCTTAGTGATGACGTCGAGATCGTTTTGAACCACTAAGATGGTCGTTTATCTCATTAATTAATGTGAATGAATTGTTATAATGTTTATATTTTATCGAATCCATAGTCTAGACATTGTCAGTGAATATTATAAATCTTTCTGGGTTTTGTGTGATTCATTGATAATGAGATAACGCATAAGCGATCATTTGGCAATTTGTTGGCTCCAAACTAGATGAAGAATCAACTAACTTTGTTCTTTAAATACATAATGGAGGTTTAATTTAGTGTTATTTTGGTATGAGTTAGTAGGTAATGTGTCACGGTCTGTTACGATTTACTGCTATAGACCGCGGTCCAAACCACTTCAGACCACACACTAAATGAGGAGACCGCGGTTCATACCACTTCAGACCGCAAACCAGACCACGATTTCCCATACTGTTTGGTCTAGATTCCAAGCCCTAATTGCCAATATCGGACTAATTAAGCTAAATTAAATCAGAGGTCAACTCAAAATGAGGAAGGACGATCACAAATTTGAAGTCTGATTCTTGTGGGGCCAAATCTGATTTAACAATGTCATTTTAGAACAAGGATGATGGTAGTTGTGTTATATTTTGTATATAACACTTTGGACTTGATTGTTGGACGAGTTACGAGAATGAAATGAATATGGATTTATTACTGAATCATATTTTGTGCCAGCTTGTTTCAAATGGGTATCACAAAATCCACAAACAATCGAAAAGCATTGAAGGAGGGGGTGGGCCGGTTGTGAGATGTGTCTTTCTTCTAACTGACCCCATCCAACGGTTCAACCTTAATTTCCTGTTATGCTACTTGTATTTCTCATATTTTCGCATTTTGACTTTCTAAAACAACGAATGCAAACCTCTCCTCTCAAAACAAAATCAATATATCATTAGCAATGACACTTGAGCCAACATGTGTTCGTCTTTATGGTACAACATTGAATTGTTAAGTTTGTTGTTTGTGTGCGGGAGATTCGAAATAGGGAGGGAGGCCTTTGGTGTTGAGTGTTGACCTTTGTTAGGGCTCTGCACTTACAGACAGCATTTGCTATGTAAATGGCCATAAACAAATAAAATGACAAAAAGCCAAAGAATATTTAGTTCTACACTAGGGCTACCCACTTGTGACTTGTAGAAATTTTCTACCATTGTGGTTATACTATGACAGGGTAACTGCAAAATGTGACTAGTAAACATATAGTTGGCCTAGGGAGAGAGCCAGCCAGTTCTCCCCCTATAAGACTAAACCACTAACTTGCTCATTTGCTTCGTGTTGTTGTTTTAGTAAAACTAGTTTTGTGCTTGTCCGATGGGCATCATATTTCAAATTTTTTATTTTTAAATAGTGGTAGCTTACTATTTCTTTTTGTAAAAATTTATTAATATTATTTATCATTCGAACTCTGTGTGATAGTAGGGTCACCATATTTAGTTTGGGTGTGCCTAAGAGCAACTATCATGTAAAACAATAAGAGTCATAACTTCATCACTATTTTGAAGATCATATTCACCATCATCTGCTCTTTGATTGACCAACAGTTTTCAACATCATATGATGTACTCGTACATAACTTTTTCATTGATTTTGTCTTTCGTGCATCTATATGTTTGGGTCAAATATTGTGAGCGTCTAATATATTTTTCAGTCTCGTGAAAAAAAATTACACACATGATTTTAAATTGTCATATGTAATGATTGAATTAGAGTCATTTCAACTTATTTTTCCTTTGATGAATGTATAATTCAACTAAATTAGAAATTGAACATTCTGTTAGTAGTAGACTGTTCAATAGATGCTAAATTTGTCCTCTGATTGAGACATATAACCCTTGCACATCATTCAAATAATGATCTATCTTGACACTCATATAATTAAAGTCAAAAGATACCACTATAGATCCTTATGTACTCTCAAAATATTTTGCAACTACGATATGTCACACTAACAAAACCATTAGAAATTAAGATGTTATCGATCTTGTCACTCATAGAACTAAATTCTATGATACTATTATAGATCATTATGTACATCTGAACTTTACCATTTTATCATTTCATATGATAAAATGGAATTTGGAATGTAGGCGACGTGAGTAAAGCAGAAGCAGAAGCAATACGGAGGCTAGCAATACTTGAGTGGAGCTGACATACAAATGTCTGCAAAAAAGAGAGCTAATATTGTGTAAGAAAAAAGGTGATAAAGAAAAGAAAAATTTTGAAAGCGGGTTGTCTTTATCAAAGTTAAAATACGAAAATGGTAACTGAATCTCACTTCAATCTTTTTCAAAAGACAAAGGCAATTGCGAAACTTGTCTGGAACAGTCCAGGTGCATAACCCTATAAATAAACACAAATGTATAACCACTCTCACTTTAATTTTAATAGACTATATCTTATATGTTTGAACTCGGATTTCATATTTTTTGCATAAAAAATCAAATGAATATACTCTACAAAATGACATTTACTGTGATATATTTTGGTAAAAAAGAATGTACATGAAGGCATCTTATATCATGGTGGTATGAAAACTATGGGGTCGTTTTCTTGTTGGATTTGGGTCATGGATTTGGTATCCAAATCCTGAGCTTGATGGATTTAACATAAGTCCATTGTTTGTTGAAGAGTGCTAAATCTGTGGGGTCCACGGATTTGGTCTTTATTTTGGAACCAAATCCGTGGACCCCACGGACTTGTAAATCCCACATATTGATTTGGGATTTGCAAATCCTTGATGGTTAGTTATTTATTTAAAAATCCATCACAAATCTCATCAAATCTATCATGCATACATTAGACTTTTCAAATCCATAATCCAATAAATCCAACATAAATCCCAAGGTTTTTATTGGCCAAAACCCTCATTTTTCTAATCCAACAAGCAAACGACCCCTATGTCATGCTGGTATACATGATTGAAAAATTTTAACCAAAAATATATAATGAATGTGTTGTAATCACAGCTAATTCATTTTTATGTACAAAATTGTTGAAATAATCCTATTTAAATTGAAGAAGATACAGTGCAATTTATAAGATTAGGTTCTTAAAACATTATTTGAATTTCAACCATGAGATATGTCCAATTTTGAAACTTGATTATTAGACTGACGCATTTTTAGGTTATGTGTATGACTTGACGCAAGGTTTTCTATCTTCATGCACATAATACAAAGACAGAATTATGCCCAAAAATAAAACTAAATAAAAGATATTAGAATTGAATCAAACAAAAAAGTAAAGATATTATTTTAAAAAGTCTACATAAAAGTTAGGAAATGAGTAAGATTGCATCAATTTAGACACCTCTCGCCAATTTGTTCTCTACGGACATGCTTAGTACTTGTGTCCAATCTTCATTGCTTCATCAATCTATTATGTAGAGAAAGTTCACGTTTTTAGCGACTTAGATACAATTAATAGTTATAATTTTTATCTCAATATATATTGGACAGTACACTACATAGTGACCAATAGCAGTAGCCCAAAAATCTTCTTTATTTTTTATCTTTAGAATTCGATGGTTAGTGTTTAGTGTCGGTTGAGAAGTATGATGAATATTCGTTAGTATAAATAAGAAACAACTATTTTTCATGTAAAGATAGGGTGCAGATCATTTGGGTGACCCGTGACCCACCCATCACCCACCCGATAAGTGCGGGTAGGAGATTTATCAACTCACAATCCACCCACATCAATCACCCATTCACTACTGTTTGGTTTATTTGCGGGTGAGTCGATGTCAAACCGCGGATTACCCACCCACATGCCCACCCCTAAACATGACTTTGATTTCTACCTTATGTGGGTATGAATATGAATAAAATTGGAAATATTTTAGATAGGATAAGATTTACACTATCCATCCTGATCGGATTCGTTGCCATCTCTTACGTGCATGTCATGTAGGGGGTGGGCATTCGGTCGGTTCGATTTCGACCGAACCGAAATTACACATACCGGGTCCCCGAATTCCACCAAACCTCGAACCAAATTATAATTTGGTTTGGTCGATTTAAACCGAATTATAATTCAATTCAGTTCAAAATTTCACACAAAACCGAATTTGTGAGAATACTTGTATCTTCTCCCTTTTAAATTATTTTTCACCCCTAATGTAAACAATAAATATGCATTATCAATGATAAAATCAAACAATTCAACACATAAGTCATAAAACACTAACATGATTCAAATATTTAAGTCTCAAACCAAGTACAAACATAAAAATCCACCATTTGGAGCCTGCAATTATAGTAATTCGATTTTTCGATCGGAAATTCAGAAATTCAATTCGTTTAAAATAAACCTGGTTTCCAAACTATTCATATTTTCCTTCCAAATTTCAAACTGAATAGCATTATTTTGGTTTTGGTTCGGTTTAATTCGATTTCAGTTCGGTTCAATTAGAATTTACCGAAGCAGTTGTCCACCCTAATGTCACGCGTTGTACTCCTAGAGAAGTTTTTTTGTTCCTCCAGCTTACAGGGCCATGTCGATAGGCCAGTTACTCTCGAGAATAGCAGAGCAATGTTACACCAGAGGCCCAAACCCACACGCCTCCCTTTTCGTTTATTTTGATTTCCCTCCTGTGACGCGCTTATCCGACGCAACGCTTGACCAAAATAAACATCCTGGTCAATCTTTTCGATCTATAACATTCTGGCCCAAATTATACATCAAAATAAATAAATTGGCCAAACCCGACGTTTGATCGTTAACTTGGACGGTCAAACGTCTTGACTAACGGTCAACGCGCCACATCACCGCCACATCACCTGAAGAGGAGGGTGAATTTGAACAAGAACCCTCCCCCGATTGGAATGAAAAGACAAGTTTCCAAGCAAAATAAAGACAAGTTTTGAACGGTAAAAGCTTCCTACAATCGAAATGCAAATGGAGGGTTTGTTCCAGAGCATCCAACGCCCTTCCTCTAAACGAGATCTCCACCTCCTTCTCATCTGCCTCCTCCCTTCCCCCGCAACCATCGCTATCATTCCCGACCAACGATGATGTCGGAGACGGATTATACTCTCGATCACTCCCTTCAATTAGGGTTTTTAGGTGGGTGAGTATAGAATCAGGATTGTCCGGTTCAATTAGGTTGGACACTAATTTTTTACTAAAATTTTATGTGACGTGGCGTGATGACTGGACCAAACTAACGATTTTTTGGATGGTGATAGACGGAATGACCATTTCGTTATTCTCTCAAACGTATGTTACTAAAACGTACAAAATGAAAGTGTTGGGCATGTGACTCGGATCACGCTGCGCCAAGGAAGCACTCCGGTCCCACAACCATGAGAGTCGGGCGCGTTAGCACCAGTAAAGCACGGCAACACCATCAACGCGAAGATCGGGCGTGCTAGCACCGGCGAAGCGCGACGGTGCCAACAACATGAGAATAAGGCGCGCTAGCACTGGCAAAACGCGACAACTCCACCACCAAGAGCGTCACGCGCACCAGCACCGACGCGACCAAAGACAGCCCGAGCACCGACCGATGACGTTCGAGTCCAGCGTTGACCAAGTTAGCGAGTGTGGGAAAACGACGCCGCGTCTCACCCATCGAGTGGTCACATCACAGTCCTAGTCCTAGTCTTAGGTATAATAAAATGCTAAATGTACTTGTCCTAGGTAGAGGTATGGTCTAGACTTCTGACATGTCAATGGTCATGTCACCAGGTAACGCACCCACCACCATGTAGCCTATAAATAGAGCATTTACTCCGGTGGGTGAAGGAGATGGGATTTTTGGAAACTCTCTCTCTACGAAAAGAACAGACTTCTCTCTACAAGTTACTCTCTGAGCTCCACCTCTTCCCTCTTTCTTTCTGAAGCCCCCGTCCGGTTCCTGTTACTCATTCTCCTCGACCCCTTTTTACCTGAATCTCACTCCTACACTCAGTTAGGTTCAAATAGAAAGGTTTGTGACCGCTTTGTACAAAGTGAATAGGTTTGTGACATTTTATGCCAATTACCCTGTTATCGAATCAATATTACTAACAAAATTGCTAACGAAAAGTTAACATTTAGTTAATTTTTAGTATTTAAATAGGTTTGACTAATAAAAAAAAATTAAAAAAATGGACTAATAAATAGTCATTTTTTTAACAATGCATTTCCCTTTTTATCCAATATTAGATCTTAAATGAATCCTGATCCGTTCCTGACTAATGATAAATATAAAATAAAATCCCCCGGACACCAACTTTCAATAATTAAACCCCCAAGTTAATTAACTATTTGATTAATTAATCTTAATCTATCCCTAACGTGCCCACACTTCCACTCTTTCGAAGCCTATTTTATGTAATGGGCACTCTTTCCTTTTTTTAGGTATATGTGGCTCTCCTGCTTTCAATATCCCCCACAATAGAAAAAGCAAATGATCTTCCTTTGCCCATAAAGCATATCGCTTTTTGTTCCCTTATCATAAGAAGCTAAGGACAAGGTGGATCTACTCTCTTCAATTACACAAAAATAACTAATAATTTATCATAATTATATTCACGTCCATATTGTTGTCGTATGCCCATCTATATTCACTTGTTTAACTTTACACAACTTGGATTTAGGAAGACAACAAATGCATATAACGCTTAGAGAGTAGATAATAAACACAATGGGTTAATAGCAACCTTGTTCACCGAATTTACTAAAAAGATTCACGTATGGTCACTACAAATATTTAATTCCATTCGCGATCATTGGAATTAGTTCAACATTTCAAATTTGGTCACTCTCCGCCCAACTCTGTAATTATTGTCTGATGTGGCAGTCAACTCTCATAACTGACCGTTAAGTAAATGACGTGGCGATTAAAAAATGATATTATTTAATCTTTTACAATTCCACCTCATTTCTATAATAAAAATAATACAAAAAATTAGTTATGGAACTGAGAAATCTCCTCCGCCCACCCAGGCCCTTCCCCGGCGATTCCGCTCCTCGGTTCTCCTCATCCTCCGACACTCTTCTGATCTCCACGGTCGAGCACTCTCTGCCTGCTACTAAGCGCGACGGTCGAGCACGCTCCCAAATATTAACTCATTCTCTATTGGATCTCTTCTCCTTCAAGCTCTGAGGGCTTGGATGGATGGTCTGTTTCCGAGTCGTGTTTCGTTGACGAGATCCAGAGGAGGTTTCCAAGAGAAATGTCGGAGAGTGGCGGCTCGACCTGCTACCGGAGGTTGACTAGGTGGATGAGGTGGGACGGCTTCTAGGTCCCTGTTAGCTTTTCGGAGGCCTCCATGGTCGATTTCCCGAGGAGGGCGGAAACAATCTCGACTCGTGTCCGCGCCGGAGAGATTGGGACTTTAGAAACTGGATCGTGACGAATCGAAGACGATTCTTCGATTCACATATTTCCCCGTATTGAGGAACGATCCTTACATCGGCATTGAAGCATCCCGGAGCCGGTGGAAGATGGTTTTCTCTTCTTCTCCCCTCGGCTGCCAGCATTTAATGGTCTTATTCTTCAGTCGCATGGATTGGATTCATAGGCTACATATCTGGGTTTGAGCTAGGAGAAGATTTGGGGAGATTTGAGAGGGTGATTTGGGGAATATTTGGTTTGCTATGTTTTAATAGGGGAGAAAATCGATCTTGAAATTTGGCTTTGGGGAAGATAGGTCAGCATCGACAACTTGTTCTGATCGGGATTGAACAGGAACGGGTCGAATGGGTTCTTGCTGTGGTTGGTGTCGGGAAGATTTTCGCGGTCGACGATGGAGGATTACCGTCTCTCTACGTTCTTCCTCCCTGTTCTTTCCTCCTTTTCCATCGTCTCTTCCAGCTTTTCTGCTAATTTGAATTCTTTAGTCTCGCATGTTCATTCTAGAAGATGTTCTCGCGGCGGAATAGTCTCCGGGTAGGGTCGATTTTATGGTGGCGTTCGAGCTTTCGTGGTGATTGGGAAATGGAAGCTGGGGATTTATAATTAGGTAATTGGGTCAATTAGATATACAACGGTTGACAGAAGATGTATATGTAAAAATTGGGTAAGTTGGTATTTATAATTTTTTCTGTTTGAGCCCGGGCGACTGGGCGTCACTCGGGTCCAAGGGGTTTGGGGCGTCAGACATGACTTTGAGGGGGTAGGCGCCCCACCTCAGCCGAAGTGAGAAAAGAGAAGAAGTATATAGAGAGAGAAAGTAGAGAGAAGTTAGAGTAAGAGTAGATAGATTGCAATTCATGAGGAGAACACTCCTATTTATACAAGTTTGGATGTTATGTGTGTGGTCCATGCACCTCAGACTCTCTATCACTGTATATTGTACTTCTGGTCAGAAGGTGTCTGGTGGGGCAGAGGGTGTCCCCCTGACCTCTTCCTTGCTTATGTCAGGTGTGCCAACTTGTCTCTTAACCTTGTCTTCTTCCTCTGATGATGTAAGTCTCTAGGGTTTTGCCCCTATGTCTTGGCTTCTCTTGGACTTTTCTTGTAGACCTTCTCCAAGTATTATACTTTACCTTCATACCCTATCAATTGCCCCTTTGACGTCGGTATGAGTATCATGGCGGCGTCAACATAAAGTGAGTGTTTCACTAACCTTGCTTTCTCGTCTTTACAATCAAGTGCTAGCTTTCTTTCTTTAGTTAATCGGCACCAGGCTCTTCCTTTCAAGTGGGTGCTTCATTCCCTTATTGATCTTCTGATCTGTTGAGCGCTTGTGCACCCGTGTGGGTGTGCTTGCTTCCAAATAAGGTGTAGTAAAATGAGGAAGAATAAACACATGTCTCAAGTAACGGAGACTAGCAAAAGAAGCAATCATGCCCCTTTTATCAAGCGCCTGGCGCTTGCATTCTTCCGTTCTTCATCAATTATTTCCTAAGTGACTACTCTTTCATCTTAAAGGATGTGCCTACGCTCGTGTTAGAGTATTCAATCTATCTTGACAATCAAATGAAGTCGAAACAAACTTGTCAGTTTTCCTTTGACTGTGCCTGCCCATTTGAAACGAGCGCCTAGCGCTCTTTTCCCATTTTTTTCTTTTTGCCAAAAGATACCACTTATATTCAAATGCTTTCCATTCATTGTCTAAGATGCTCCATTTTTCTTTCGATTACTTGTGATCTTTTAGAAGAGTGCTTGCTCCGATTCTTTAGCTAAGCACTGGTCACCCAGCTTGTCGTTAGTTTCCCTAAGACCCAAACTCAACGAGGTGTCTGGTGACTCGCTCCTTCGCCGATGTGTCTGACCTTCAGTTGGGCGCCTGACATCTTACTCCTTAGCGAGGTGCCTGACCTTCAGTGGAGTGTCTGGCGCCTCACTCCTTCGCTTATGTCTTTGGTAAGCATTTGTCACCTAGCTTGTCGTTTGTTGCCTTAAGACCCAAAGTCAACGAGGTGTCTGGCGACTCGCTCCTTTGCCGATGTGTCTAACCTTCCGTTGGGCGCCTGACACCTTACTCCTTAGCGAGGTGCCTGACCTTCAGTGGGGTGTCTGGCGCCTCACTCCTTCGCTTATGTCTTTGGTAAGCATTTGTCACCCAGCTTGTCGTTTGTTGCCTTAAGACCCAAATTCAACGAGGTGTCTGGTGACTTGCTCATTTGCCGAGGTGCCTGACCTTCAGTTGGGCACCTGGCACCTCACTCCTTCAGCGAGGCGCGTAACCTTCAGCGGTGTACATGGCGACTCGCTCCTTTGTCGTAGTGTTTGACATTTGATAGGGTGCCTGACACCTCACTCATTTGGTGAGGTGCCTGGCGACTCGCTCATTTACATAGGTGTCTGACATTTAGTTGAGCGCCTATCACCTCACTCCTTCAGCGAGGAGCCTGACACCACACTCTTTCAGCGAGGTGTCTAACCTTCAGTGGGGCTCCTGACACCTCGATCCTTCATCCAGGCGCCTAACCTTGAGTGGGGCAGATGGAGACTCGCTCTTTTGCCGAGGTGTCTGACCTTAGTTGGGCGCCTGACACCTCACTCTTTTAGCAAGGTGTCTGACCTTCAGTGGGGCTCCTGGCTTCTCATTCCTTTGTATGTGTATGACACTAACAACTTAGAACCTTACTCTTGTAATTATAACATTACTTGCTTTGGTTCATTTGAGCGCACAGGCGCTTCAACGAGGTGCCTGGCGACTCGCTCCTTTGTCGGGGTGCCTGACCTTTGGTAGGGCGCCTGACACCTCACTCCTTTTCCGAGGTGTCTGACCTTCAGTTGGTGTTTGGTGCCTCGCTCCTTCTCTTATGTATTACGTTAATGACTTCTAACCTAACTCTTGTAGGTATAACATTACTTGTTTTGGATTACTAGAACGTGTGGGCAATTCATCGGGCGCCTCGCTCTTTTGCCGAGGGCCGACCTTCAGTGGGATGCCAGACACCTTACTCCTTCAGCGAAGTGCCTGACCTTCAGTGGCAGGATGTCTGGCACCCCCACTTCTTTGCTTGTTTTCCCTTGTCAAACTTGTTTTAAAACGAGGATGAGCTAATGGGTGAACGTTCAATCACCCCTTGTGAGACTTTTTCAATGTCAAGCTCTTCCTTAATGTGTCGATCTTGAGAGCGCCTCATCATATAATCTTTCTCTTTTCCTTGTCGAGGTGTGGTCTCCTAGGTTCTTGTTTTAGAGTGCTTGCGCCCTTCTTTTCCTTTCCATTCAATAGAGCGCTGAGGCGAATTGTCGTTGCTTGGTCGTTACTGAATTTTTGGTTGAGCACCTAGGGTCTTTATTTTCTTCGTAATGTATGACATTCTTTTTTAAAGTATCAATACACGATTCAAGGTGCATGGCACCTCCAACTATGAGGTTGATGGACCCTCCTCCCATGAAGTCAATGCACCACCTCCTAGTGATGACGGGGATGACTCGTCTAGCCTTCTCCACGTCGGAGTAAGCGAGCACAATGGGCTCCCTCTGACTAAGCATGAGCATTTTGAAGGATGTGTTGAGGACATCACCTCTCACTGGGACCTGGGATCTAGGAGCCTGACAATCACCTAAAGAGTCAAGCACAAACTCTAAGTCTCTTCTCTTTGATGGGAAATAAAGCGGTTGGGTTCCACACTCTTAATCATTTGGTGATGCTCCCCAAGCATTGCAGTGGCGCTCCTGAAAAGGAGGTAGCGCGCCGGGCTTCTTCTCAACGGAGGAAGCGAGCTATATGAGCTCCATCTGTCTAAGCAAGGATATTTTGAGGGATGTGTTGGGGACATCGCCTCTCATGGGGACCTGGGATCCAGGCGCACCACGCTCAACTAAAAAGTCAAGCGGAATCTTTAAGGCTCTTACTGTTTGGCGGGAAAGAGAGCGGTTGGGCTCCACACCCTTAACCGTTTGGTTGTACTCCCCACAACATTGCATTGGCGAACCTGAAAAGGAAATAACGCACCAGGACTTCTCCTCGACAGAGAAAGCGAGCTATATGAGCTCCATCTATCTAAGCAGAGAAATTTCAAGGGATGTGTTGGGGACATCGCCTCTCATGGGGACCTGTTATCCAGGCGCGCGAAATTCAACTAAGGAGTCGAGCACAATCTCTAAGGCTCTTCCGTGTTGGCGGGAAAGAAAGTGGTGGGGTTCAACACCCTTAACCGTTGGTGGTGCTCCCCAAAGCATTGCACCAGCGCTCCTGAAAAGGAAATAACGCGCTTAGCTTCTCCTCGACGAAGAAAGTGAGCTATATGAGCTCCATGTGTCTAAGCAGGGAAATTTCAAGGGATGTGTTGGGGACATCGCCTCTCATGGGGACCTGTTATCCAGGCGCCCGAAACTCAACTAAAGAGTCGAGCACAAGCTCTAAGGCTCTTCCGTGTTGGCGGCAAAGAAAGCGGTGGGGTTCAACACCCTTAACCGTTGGTGGTGCTCCCCAAAGCATTGCTCCAGCGCTCCTGAAAAGGAAATAACGCGCTTAACTTCTCCTCGACGGAGGAAGCGAGCTATATGAGCTCCATCTGTCTAAGCACGGTAAACGATATCCTCAAAACATCACGCCATGTTGTGGTGGAGGCTCTTTTTTTTTAAAGATTAACCAAGGAGATCATTGTCAGTGTCTGCTCGTTTTAACCCACAATTGTTGCATGCCTGCATCTTTCGGTGAAGGTAGAGGGAGACACTTTGTAAAGGATATGTAGCTGCATCTTCCGAAAAGATTTCTTTTATGTGATCCTCATGATCGGTCCTCCCTTCGTACGAGGGATACTTGGACTTGCAAAGTTAGGTTTGGCTCTTCCAATATTCCCTTAGACTGTATTTGTCAAATAATGTCAAGTCATTTGTCTCTGGCGCCTCTTCCTTTTGTCAGGTGCCTGTCACCTGCTGCAACCTTGAATATAGAGGTGGCTCTTCGATTATTCATTTTCCACCGATTGAGCCCTTTCTGAGAGATGTCCTTGAATGTCTGTCATCTTTCATCTTTGTTTCCTTTCGAGTTTGGCGAGGAGGCACCTCAAGCGCTTAATGATAACGATGTAATTGCACGTATTTGCACCCCTAGTTCTTATCCGTATGACGGGCATAGTCGTGTATTTTTTGCCTATTTTACGCCGGGTTGTGCTACTTTGTCATATTTCAGGTCCCAGGCGTCAAAGGAAAGGCTAAGCACGAGTTTCCGGGCATTCGGAAGTCATTCGGTCGAGCTGGAGCCAAAACACGGGCACACCTAAATCAGAACACGGCCGTGTTCCTAGGCTGTGCTTTTACTGCCGAGACTTGAATTGAGTTTGGCAAACACTGGTTGAAAACACGGGCGGGGTTGAGACAAAACACGGCCGAGCCCACCAAAAGCACGCCCGTGTTTTCACCAACAGGCTGGCCGTGTAATTAACCCTTGGAAAAACACGGGCGGGCTGAAGCAAAGCACGGTCGTGCCCTCGACCGTGTTTTGCCCAGTGATGCCCTTTTAAGCAGATTTCAGCCAAAAGAGAAGGGGATTCGAGTTTTAGAGAGACAGAGCGATTCCTAGAGAGAGAAAGCGACGAACAAGAGTTACCAAGTGCCCTAGCTTGATCTTCATCACCATTGGAGCTTGGCTTGAGCTTGGAGGAGTGCCGATCAACGTCCAGGAGCAGGAATCCATCCTTCACAGTATGAATTCCACGTCTGATTCTGCTTTTGCTTCTTTCTCCATGGAGTAGTTCTCCCATTCATCTGGGTATGGGAAACCCTAGATTTGTATGTTAGGTCTGATTGTATGAACCCAAGTATTGATTCTATGATTTGATTATATTCAATTGAGGTTTGAATGATTGAATGGCATGAATCCTGATCAAATTCCTGTTATTTCTGCTTTACCCTAGAATGAGAATATCTGCCTAGGTTGATAGAGCATCCTTGATTGAAGGTAGGGAGTTGGTGACTTTAGTCGAGGAGCCAACTCACTATTCTGTACCAAATTCACTTCGGTAGTGGAGGTTTTGTTGTTAGGGCCTCAATATGTTTACTCCGGTGGAGGTTAGTCGCCCGCTAGAGACTCAGATTGAGAGGGTCTGGAGACCTTTAGTCGAGACTTCAGACTGTTTAAGAACCTTCCGCAGTATAACTATCATAGAAACTGAACTTGGTTGCAATCCGGCTTAACTCAGTCTAGGGGGAACCATATCCGGGTGACCTCTCTTAACCTGAAAACAACAGTTTACTTGCTTTGTTTCTTTGTTAGTTTAGACTTGCATTAAAGTTTCATTGCTAGATAACAAGAAATTCACCGAGTAGTCATCAAATCTAGGACCTGGGTTGACATTTAAACCCAAACCCGCTATACTACACTTTAGGAAGTGGTTTCACTTGGCCAATTCCTAGAGTGACAGTAGAAGTGAGTCAAGTTTTTGGCGCTGTTGCCGGGGACGGCTAGGTTGTTGAAGAATAGTGATTTCTGTTAATTTAGCTTTTCTTTTTGCATTGTTTGCTTTGTCCCACTTGTGCCTTCACGGGTTTGCTTGCTTGAGTGTGTGCAGGTAGTGCATGACCCGTAGCCAGTCGGGAGGTTTACTGCCGTTGAATCCAGAGATTGACCGCACCTGTCGCCAACTCAGGAGACAACAGCGAGCTAGACTGGCTACGGAAGAGCGCATAGACGGCCACCTGAGTAGCGATTCTGAGGAAGAGTACGGGATGGACGGAGAATACAATCCACACCAGGGGAATCCTCAACAGGCTCCCCCGGTGAATCCGATCCTGGGGAACAACCCCATACCCTAGGTAGATGGGGTTCATCATCATCACCCGCCGCCGGGTCCCACCTTGGAGTACTACTACACTCCACGGATTGCTGACATCCGCCCGGTCATCCTCTACCCGCCTATTCTAGCAAACAACTTCGAGATCAAGCCATGCTGGATTCAGCTCATTACATCCTCTATCCAGTTCCATGGCTTGAAGGATGAGGAGGCCAGGGTACATCTTTCCCGTTTTCTGCAGTTGACGAACGGGTTCAAACTGAACGGTGTCCCCGATGATGCAATCCGCCTTCACCTTTTTCCCCATTCTCTGGCGGGGAATGCTAAGAGGTGGTTGGAGACCCAGCCCCCATCGTCCATCACCTCTTGGGACGATCTGGCTGACAAATTCGTGCACAGGTACTATCCGGCATCGAAGACTACAGAGATCCAGCGGGAGATCACTCACTTCCGCCAAGAGCCAGATGAGTCACTTCGTGATGCTTGGGAGCGGTACATGGGATATTTCTGGCAGTGCCCCCACCATGGTTTCAGTGATGCATTCACAGTGGGGAACTTCTATAGTGCTCTCTCTCTGGACAGCCAGAGGGTGGTTGAGTCTCTATGCCCAGGAGGGGATATTCTTACTAAGACTCCACCCGAGCTGAACCAGATGATCAATACCTTGGCTGCCAGAGATCATTCTTGGGGGCAGAGCAGCAGAGGCAGACATTCCCGGGACCGTGGTGTGCACGTCATGGAGACCAGATCCGGGCTCGAGCAGCAGGTAGCTGAGCTAGTGCAGACATTGAAGCAGCCCAACAGTCTTATTCCGGGCAGAGGTTTGGCTACACCTCCAGTAGCTCAATGTCAGTGGTGTGAGAGCTCAAATCACTTAGTGGAAGACTGCTAGGCTATGAGGGAGTCTACTACTCCCCAAGAGCAGTTGGACTTCATCGCCAATGCTCGGCGCCTCGACCCGTACAGCAATACATATAATGAGGGGTGGCGCCAGCATCCCAATTTCGCTTAGAGCAGCAACACCACTAAACCACCTGGTTTCCCAGCACCAGCTGGTGGTTTTCAGCAGAGGCAGCCTTTCCAGGCTCGACAGGGGCCAGCCCTACAGCAGCAGCCCTACCAGCCTAGGCAGGGGCAACCATTCCAGCAGCCCCAGCGTTAGTTTGCCGAGCCAGCAGCAGCTCCGGCTCCAGATAATCAGATGACGAAGCTGGAGAATATTCTAGCTTCATTCATAACTAGCACTCAGGCAACTGTCACGAGGTTGGACCAGAGCATAGCCTCACTGGAGGCAGGTCAGAGGAACCAAGGTGCCATTTTGCAAGATCTGCAGAACCAGGTGGGTATCTTGGCCCGCCAAAACATTACGAGGGCACCGGGGACTCTGCCTGCCACCACTGTTCCGAATCCTCGTGATCCTCACCAGCACCAGCAGCTTGATGCCATCACTACCAGGAGTGGCAAGACCACATCAGCTGCTCCTGCCCAGCCCAGTCGAGATGAGCCACTACCTGCTTCAACACTTCCAGCTGATACTGCAGAAGTGGGGGAAGAAAAAGAAACGCCTGCTCCCAAGCCACAGCCAGTGGTTAAGGAGCATGTACCTCAGCTTCCTTTCCCCACTCGCCTGCATAAAGACAAGCTGGAGACTGAGTTTGCCAAGTTCATGGCAATGTTGAAGCAGGTCAACATCAGCATGCCGTTCGTGGAGGCACTGTCAAAGATGCCCAAGTATGCCAAGTTCATGAAGGACCTCCTCACCAACAAGAAGAAACTTGGGGATCTTTCGACAGTGATGCTGAGCGAGGAGTGTTCTGCTATCCTGCAGAACAAGCTGCCCGAGAAGCGAAAAGACCCAGGGAGTTTCACTATCCCTCTTGCTATTGGCAGCATGCATGTAGGAAAGTCCTTGGCGGACCTAGGAGCTAGCATAAATGTCGTGCCTTACAAATTATTTAAGAAGCTAGGCCTAGGTGAACCTAGAACTACTAGGATGAGCATTCAGTTAGCTGATCGTTCTATCGTGAATCCTAGGGGTATCATTGAGAACTTGCTTGTTAATGTGGGTGCATTCACATATCCTGTTGACTTTGTTATTTTGTATATAAATGAGGATGTGGATGTACCTTTGATTTTGGGTAGATCGTTTCTCGCCACCGCCAAGGCGCTTATTGATATGCATAGTGGTAAATTGATTCTGCGTGCTGGTGATGAACATGCTACTTTCTCTGTGTCTGAGAATGGGAAACACTCTCATTTGCATGATGACATAGATTATTGTGATATGCTTACTGATTTTGAGACCGCACTTGCAATATCAAGTGCGGGTACTGACGATGCTCTTGAGCGTTGTATTTTGCTAGGTGAGCAGGCATCGCAGGAGCCGCAGCTGGCGGAGCAGTTGGCCGAGTTGGAGAGTGGCCCCTTCTTGGAGGGCGACATGTTGTTCAAACCGATCTCATCCTCCACCCGCATTGCTACTTCCTTGGAGGAACCATCAGAGTTGGAGCTTAAACCCCTCCCTCCTCATTTGGAGTATGCATTTCTCCAGGAGGGGAATAAGCTGCCAGTCATCATCAGCTCGACCCTCACACCCGAGCAGAAGAACAGACTGGTGGCCTTGCTGAAGCGGTACGAGCGAGCTCTCGCGTGGAAGATCACAGACATCCGGGGGATCAGCCCTTCCTTCTGCTCCCACCGGATACTGATGGAGGATGAGATGCGGCCAGTGAGACAGCCGTAGAGAAGACTGACACCGAACCTGGAGGCTGTGGTTCGGGCAGAGATCGTGAAGCTGCTGGACGCGGGGATCATCTTCGCCATTTCCGACAACGAGTGGGTCAGTCCCACCCAGGTGGTACCCAAAAAGGGTGGGATGACTGTGGTGCCTAACGAGAAGAATGAGCTGATCCCGATGCGCACGGTGACTGGGTACCGTGTCTGCATTGATTACCGGCGTCTCAACGACGCCACTCGGAAGGACCACTTTGCGTTGCCATTCATTGACCAGATGCTGGAGAGACTGGCGGGGCACGAGTTTTACTGTTTCCTGGATGGGATGTCCGGGTACTTCCAGATCCCTATTGCACGGGAGGACCAGGCGAAGACCACTTTCACCTGCCCCTTCGGCACCTTTGCCTACTGGAGGATCCCATTCGGGCTATGCAATGCCCCGGCCACTTTTCAGCGATGCATGCTCGCTATCTTTGACCGTCTGGTCGGCAAGATTATGGAGGTGTTTATGGACGATTTCTCGGTTTATGGAGACTCATTCTCTCACTGTCACCATAACCTGGAGCTTGTCCTTAAACGGTGTGAAGAAACG